AAAAGGGGGGGTCACGTTTGGTTGGCTTAAATCTAAAATTCCCACTCGAATTAATGCAGGAATCCCATACCTCACTGCATGTGCACATGCATGAGAGCTAGCTATAAGCTATATATTTAGAGAGAGAGAGAGAGAGAGAGAGAGAGAGAGAGATGACCATTCTCTCTCTTTTCTTTCTTCTGACTCGCCACACAACCCCACCACCACCACCCACCTTTAACTAACCAACTATTTTTATCTCTTTTCCACTCCGTTTCTAAGAGATTCGGTTACCTACCTCCCAAACATGTCACATGTTCTCTTTCTAGCTCCTTTCTTTTCTCCTTAGAATAAATAAATAAATTTAACAAGATTCCAAATCCCTTTTGATCACTGCATAGATCACAGTCTATAGTAAATTGATTCAAAGTATGTATATAATTTGGGCACACGGAAGCCAAGTATATGTAAGTGACCCCATTAATTATCGTACGTCTTTCTTTGTTTATCTTTGATGAACAATGTTAATTACTGAGAATATAAATTAGATTAATTTAAGTTCCTAGGTAATGTTAAAAGTCAAAATAGTACCACAATACATAACAGAAGAATATATATGGAAGGAAAAAGGTATTCATCATCATAACCTATATATATATATATATATATATATATCTATTATATGCAGCTAGCACATGCATAATTTGATAGCTGTCGAAAAAGGGGCAGGCTTCTAGATTGGGATGGGGAACTTCCCACCCAGGAGAGCTTTTCTTACAAATATTTATGCTCCAATCAGAATAGTCCCGATATCCTACCTGCAACCGCATTCTTACATTAAATAAATATAACTGGGGTATATATAATATTTACACATATAAGTTGGTGTTTCTAGTTGGAGACAGATCCACCATTCTTTGTGTGGACCCTTTTTTTTCACTTGAATAATTCTCTTTTTTTTTTTTTTTTTTTTTTTTAGAATTACATGGACCCTTTAATAAGTTTCATACACGTGGTTTATCATATTAAACTAATAAGGTTTTAATTACCAACTGATAGTGGTTGGTAGCTTGGTCTAACCATTCCCACACGTTATAAAATTTAAACTTTTGGCTCTCCTAAGGTTCTAGAGACAGAAAGTTTATAACAAATTAAACAACATGGGACTGTTTTTCTTTTTTTTTTCTTTGATAATTAGGTACCGTCATTTAGGCCGGATTTAATCATCCTTCAGCCTGCGTTTGTATTGTTAAAAATAAAAAAATAAAAAAATATTCTCCTTTGGACACTTATATATTGGTATTTTTATTTCTCATTTTTTCTCTGAAAAATTGTTTCTCCCTTTCTTCACCCCCTCGCAAGGATAAAATTATTTTATAATTTTTAGGGGAAACTATTTTATAGTTATAAGAGTTCATGTTTACTCGGAATTGAACATTCAAATATATCTAAAATTACATTAGGGAATGTGAAACAAAACAGAAACAAGAAAATGAAGAAGTTGAAGCGTGTAGAAATTTCACCTTATTAATCTCATTAACTTACCTAGAGTCTCCCACACCCATTAATCATGATACACTGAGTCGGTATTAGAGACAAAACTTAGGAAGTTGGATATTAATCAAGCCATAATGACACTGCAAATGTTTGTTAGGTATGCATAATTATGTGATATCGTACTTGGGTCATACATTAATTATTAATTTTTTGTGTTTAAGATGACGTGATTACATTATTGTCGAGCTTCACCTAAATCCAGCCAAGATATGATGGCAGTTTGCACTTGAATTAGGCAGATTTAAGATGAAAGAAACGAATTAGGCTGACAACTAAACTTCTGGCAGGTTGGGATTATGGAATGGATTTGAAAAGTGTATATTCTTCGTAGCAAAGCCCAAATTTCAAATTATTAATTAGCAGTTTTGTTTTTAAAAGTGAAATTAAGAATATGCATATAAACACATTAGTAGTATAATATACACGATTTTAATTAATAAAGTATATCTTGGAATTGATTAAGTACTAATAAACTAAAAGTGATATTCAAGCAACATAATTATTATTTGGTACCCCCTAACATTAGTCTAACAGAAATGGTGCTTCTCAAATTGTTCATCTCCCACTAATGGAATTGATGTAACATGACAATTAAGAACAGAAAATGACCACACACACACACGCATATATATATATATATATATAGGTCCCAAACTTTTACATGTCAATGGGAAGGTAGTAATGTGAGGAGGATGCCTACTGGTTGACTTGGTTAGGATAATGCGATAAGGTCTACGTATCCTTATCAAAAAAGTGCATTGCATAATGCGCACAAAATGAAAATGTATAGTATAGTACAGTATGGTCTCTTCTTGATCTTATGATCTCTATATTCGATATGTTTGGTAGAGCGTCAATCGTGTTTCTTTGGAATACCTAACCTTCTAGAATAAAGTTCCTAGCGCATAAAATATATATATATATATATATATATAATCTAATTGTTCTAACAAGTACTCAACGTTGTTAATACTTTTTTCCCGTAACTGGTAAAAACAAGGTAAAAAAGAAAAAATCTAATTGTTCTAACAAGTCTACCCTAGTGAGAAGGCGGAAAGCGAAATCTTTACAAACTGAAAAGGAAAAGGGAGAGAGAGAGAGAGAGAGAGAGAGAGAGAGATAATTTGGTTGTTGATTGATAAAGGTATGATCCACATAATATGCTAGACTTCTGCCAAACTAGTAGGTAAACATTTTTAAAAATAAATAAATAAATAAATAACAATAACGAACCGATTTGCACTGGCAGATGAAATTCGTACACCGAATACTATATCAATTAATTAATCTATATATAAAACATAGAGAATTACATAAAATTTTTGACCCCCCAATTTCTTTTTTCAAAAAAAAAAAAAAAAGAAAGCTATGAATTGAGAGGCATGTGAAATCTGAAGAAGCCATTTGCGGTTTGGCAATTTCTGCACAACTCGCCACCTTGATACCCCAACTGGCAACACAAGCAAACTCCACCAAACAACTGGTGAATATTGTTGTTATTATTACTAGTAATACTGATTACTCGCGAGGGTTTGGACTCTGCCGTGTTCGCAAACGACAACCGAGCCGGCTGCTCACGTGACTGAAACGGAGCCAGCCCAATGGAGAGTTCCAAGTTGATGTTCTTGAGCTCTTGATCATGTCGTTGGTCCTCTTCCGTTGTCGTTCCGCTGCTGGTGCAGTTGGATTTGGCGTCTTGATCAAGTGCGTGATTATGGGTAGTTATGCTTTCTGTCTTGGGCTGTAACAACTTTGGCGTGGCGGATAATTTGGCGCGATTGTTGGTGGTGGCGATGCTGGCGTTTTTGTTGACGAGACTGATCTCGGCAACCGGGAGAGCCGGTGGAGAGGTGTTTCTGAAGTCTAAACGAGAAGAAACGGCGGCGGCGGTCTCGTTGAGGGGACGGTGAGTTTGAGGGTCAAGGCCTCGGCTGATTAGCTTGCGCTTGATATGAGTGTTCCAGTAGTTTTTTATCTCGTTGTCTGTTCTTCCCGGTAATCTTCCGGCGATTAAGGACCATCTGAAACCAAATAATTAGCATTTTTTTAATTACCGAAGATTCAAAATCAATTTATGTGACTAAAAAGAGGGGGGGGGGGGGAAAGAAGGGGAAAAAATTTTTTTAAAAAATTATTACTTTTT